ATTTTTGAAGGGGACACAAATAATACAGCTAAAATTGCACTTGTAAGGACAAGTATACACAGCCTTACTACTATTAGTGCAGCAGGGAGACCGTGTCAAATTAGACAACTTCAAGCTGTTGTGGTCGCGCCGCGATAGCGTTCGTGTCCATTGTAGACATTACCATCCGTCAAGCAGGTAACGTTATTATTGCGAACATAGCGGACTCATCGAAAAATACATTGGCATCATCTGTATTAAAGAGAAATTAATCACTTCATCCAATGTTTAAGTGAATAAAATAGCCTTGACAGTCGAGTTCCACAACTATTGACTTTGTTTTCGCTCACCGGACTTGTGTGTGTGTGTATGTAGGTGATGCAGGGTTGCCGCAACAAAACCTGCCCAATTGCTACTCAAAACTAGCCCAATCTTGTTTCGAAGGGGGTTCCCTGGTAAAAATTGTGTTTGGGGGTAAAATACACGTTTTTCGGCGGGGTTCCTACGGTAAAATTCACATTCATATCACGTTATTGGGTTCGCTTCAACCCGCGGCAACAGTGTTAAAGTAGCCCAGTTCAGCGGGAAAACCACGGACTCGGCAACTGAGGTGATGTAAAAGAGGAAAGCAGGCATTTGGACCAAAGCACTGTGAGGCAAGGGAGGGGAGACTCAAAATGTTTCTAAACTTAAAACGCATTTTTGCCCCGTTTGCATTGTTTTACTACTTACAAAGTTATTTAAAGTATAAAACATTATTTACAATACACAGCATGGTTTTAATCATATTTTTAGGGGGGACAACCCTCAGATAGGGGGGTCCTGTCCGTCCCGACCCCCCCGGGATTTCCGCCTATGCACCAAGTATAAACGATAGTAATAATGATGCATGTACAAAACAAACAAGCACTGTATCCTGCCAGGAGTCTGTGAGTGAAACACATCCGGCATGAGCTGCTCTGTGGATGAGTCTGATTCTATTCCTGGAGGAAAAATCACCGTGGTTACAGGGAATGGAGGGATTCCAAAGCAAACATTCCACCCTTCTCCCAACTCCTCGTCTCATTGAATATCTCTTAAAAAAAACACATACTATACCACTGAGAAAGACAGATGGACCTCACAGCACACAGCAGAAACTGCTAACCCAATTAACCCATGTGCCAAACAACTCACAAACAGGAAATCAGACTTTGTGTGACCTTCATGTTTTGTGTGTTTAATGTAAGATGCATTTTTCCCTGTGTCTATACGAGTTGTAATAGAGAAGTGTGTGTGAGTGTGTTAGTCTGGGATTTGCTGAGAGGAAATTCCAAATCATAGCTGCATTTTTCTGCACTCATGAGACATAAAACCAGCACACAGATGCACACACAGGAATGTCAAATAAATACTGTACCAGTCATACCAAATTAAACACACAAGACATGTTCCATAAACGTTGCCACACATTTGTGTTCTGTACAGTCATATTGACTTGTGCATGTTCTCTCTTATACATATATCTGTGAGGCACTAACAAAAAAAGGTCCTAAAAATACCATGGTATTATCATGTTTCTAGAAAAGTGCACCATAGCACCATTTGGAAATTTACTATGGCATTCTGTAAAATATCATACTTTTATGGAGCTTAAAAAAAGAATAGTTCAGCCAGAAATGTGCTGAAAATGGACTCACCGTAAGATCGTTTAAGATGTAGATGAGTTTCTTTCTGCAAAAGATTTGGAGAAATTTATCATGTTACCAATGAATCCTCTGCAGTGAATGGGTGCCATCAGAATGAGAGTCCAAACAGCTGATAAAAACATCACAATAATCCACACCACTCCAATCCATCAATTAACATCTTGTGAATTGAAAAGCTGCATGTTTGTAAGAAACAAATCCATCATTATGGAGTTTGAAGGTCAAACTGTCGCTTCAAGGCCAAAAATATGAGTCCAGAATCCAAAATAATGCTTGCTTTCGTGAAACAGTTGTCCACTCACAGCAAAATCCACCCCCATATTTGCTTAGAAGGGTTTTGGCTTTATCTGTGCATATTTCTCTCCTGATTCAGACAAGACAACTTTTTCACTGGGTGAAGTGTTATTATGCATAGAGGACTTTATTTTAGCCAGAAGCAATGGTTTGAAGTTTAAAACATATCTTAATGATAGATTTGTTTCTTACAAACATACAGATTTTGGCTTCACAAGTGGTCTGGAGTGGTGTGGATTACTTGTGGATTATTGTGATGTTTTTATCAGCTGTTTGGACTCTCATTCTGACGGCACCCATTCACTGCAGAGGACCCATTGCTGAGCAAGTGATGCAATGCTACATTTCTACAAACCTGATGCTTTATTTTAGCCAGAAGCAATGGTTTGAAGTTTAAAACATATCTTAATGATAGATTTGTTTCTTACAAACATACAGATTTTGGCTTCACAAGTGGTCTGGAGTGGTGTGGATTACTTGTGGATTATTGTGATGTTTTTATCAGCTGTTTGGACTCTCATTCTGACGGCACCCATTCACTGCAGAGGACCCATTGCTGAGCAAGTGATGTAATGCTAACTTTCTCCAAATCTGTTCTGATGAAGAAACAAACTAATCTACATCTTGGACATTTTTAGCAAATTTTCATTTGAGGCTGAACTATTTTTTTAAGGATGTAAATGATGTTTTTTTTTTTTTTAAAAGGTTTTGAATATTTAATGCTGTTTATTGTAAGAGTCCAAATACTTTGGGGTCCATAAGTAAATTTCAGTTACTACAAGTACCTTACAAGTACCGTACCTTTTGCTATTGTGGGCATTTTCAAATATTCCATCAATCCAATAATAGCAAAACCTGTCAAACAAACACATATACATACACACACAAAATCCATATGGAATAAGTATTAAAGATGATATTTTAATGGTGTGGATTAGAGACAACCAGAATAAACATCTCTACAGTCAAAACGCAATATACACAATTTGACCAAATGGATCTCACCAATACAATCTCTATAGTATTACAATAAAACAATCAACAATAAAAAGACAAAGAAAAACTGTGTTCTTAAAAAAACATCAAAACAAAGAAAACACACAGTCTCTTTGTTTTTCCAGTGATCTTTATCCAGCTTTTTCAATAAAGTGAAACTGACTTGCACAACCACCAATACGATCAATCGGCTTTGAAGCAGAACCTGTTGGCTCCCAGTTCTCCAAAACTGCAGTCCACAAAAATGTCAAAAATCGGAAATTTGGCTTCAAAAACTCCAGAAAAACAAAAAAGCAGGATGTTCTCAAGCTCTTTCGGACTTACTGGTTTCTAGGCAGAATTTAGAGAACGGACCACTGCCAAAACATTGACGTCGTTTTACACACATTACATAAATGCATATATATTTTAATATAGTTTCATCCGGAAGACAAGTTCTCAGGATTTCTTGACAAATGCAGTCCGAGCTATGGCTTTAAACAGTGATCTCTACCCTCAAACTTTCAGCCAACATCAACATTCAGGTAAGTCATATTGCAAAGCTGAAACTCTGAGGTCATATTTCCCTGTGTCACTGACACAATCTTAGTTTACGACTCAAGAGCAATCTTAACGCTCGAAAGGTTAAACAGTATCTGCTGGTGATCAGTCGACATAAAGGCAGGGACATTTGCTCACCATCTTTTGAAGACTGCAATGAAAAATACTAAAGTTTAATAAGTCTATGTGCAGATATTTCAGCACCAATGATAGAAGTGCTCTGCCACAGTCCCTCAGATTTGTCTTGATCAAACCGTTTATCAGAGAAATAAATGCCAAAGGACCTGTCAATGTTACTTTTGCCCAGTTCACAGTGACGTTTTACTCAATGTCTGGCAGGAAATGAAAAATGATTTATCTTGCGATGGTGAAACGCCACTGAGAATTGTGTGATGTATGTATCAGCAGATTGGATCAGCAGATCCATATAACTATAGCACAAACACAAAAACACGACGGACATTTATGAAAACGCATAACTGACCAATGCCGTTCATGAAAACCACTGTGAAGTAGATTATTGCATTCAATTCAATGCAACAATTTATGCACTTTTTTACTAATGTTTTATCAGTTCTATCTGAAACCATTTTTACATAAATTGTCACATTTCATTCCATACAATGATTTATACAAGAATGGTTTTATGAATGACTGGAATGAATGAGGCTCATTGATTGTAGCCAGTGAAAAATACAAGTATTTTTGAGATTCAAACAACACCATTCACTTAAAATGACAGAAACAGAAGAGCACAGGAAGAGAGAAATTATTTTGTGAACAGGTACCAGACCTCCTTGTGATGGCTACAGAACCTCAATGAGAACACCTCAAGTACACTCTAATTGAACATTTATGGGATCGACATTAATGTGAAATAATGTGACTTATTTCAAACTTTCAGCCATGTGATGTGTTTTAAAGTCAAAGAGCAAAACAAAAAAGCTAAATGTTAAAGAGAAACAGATGTTTGTTTTAAAAAGGAACCAGAACAGGATGTTCAGATGAATTTGGAATGGAACAAAAATGTTCTGGAATCTATATACAAATCTTTGGAGTCTTTGCAAATGCAGACAACAGAGATAACGGACAGATGAAATCTTGTGTTTAGAGAAAGAATGCTAGACAATGACAAAATGACTGTGACAGTGATGAGATGAGGCCACTCCTCCAGTATGACGGCCAATAGGAAGCCGTGTGGGCTTACTCGAGGGGTGTGGTTTAGCGAGAGCCCCGCCCTCGCAGACTTGGTCCTTTTAACCGGCAGGATCAGTAGAGGAAGTCCTTAATTTGAGCGTAATGGAGCATCGTCTAAGAGGTCCTCCAGCGAGCCCGTGTCTTCCGGAGACGACTCTTTCCTGTCCTCCGCTTCCAATCGGGTCTTTTTCGTGGCACTGGGCGGGGCTACCTCTTGAAGAAGCTCTTTGGCGAGAATGTTTGTCACGGCCTGACCGGCTCCTCTCCGATTGTTGGCTGAAATCGAAAGGGAAATAATAAATAAAGGGCAATTAAAAAGATATTCAGTTTCATGCAGGTCAAACATCAAGCTGGAAAGGTCACTCTTTGAGGTCAGACACAGGTGTAAGAGTTCAAAGGTCATTGCTTAAAGCACTGCAGTCAAAAACAACCAACAACTTACCTTTTTATATGAATATGCCAGGTTATTTTCCACTTACTGATCCCTACAGACAATGATTTCAACTCGTTCCTCAAAACAGACCATATTTTACAATAAAAAATAAGCTTACGGATTGAAAGGTTTAAAAGCATAAATGTGAAGCTCATATTGTTGTTAAATTGCTAAAATGTAAATGCATTATATGCCAAAACCATTTTTTGAGGTAGGATTACTTTACTACACTGCAAACAATACAAATATCTAGACATAATTAAATCAAGACACATCTACTTGAGAAGGAAAATAACTTGAGGTATCAAGTCATGTTGTCTGAAAAATAGATCAAATTTAAAAGAGTTTATACTGAAAATAAGAAAAAATATTTTTATTTTTTATTCAGTCGCAGTAACAACAAAAAAAAAAGTCAGAATTCTGAGATGTCAACTCAAAATTCAGAGAAAAAAGTCAATTGTGAGAAACAAAACAACAAAATAATTAACTTATGTCTCACAATTCATAAGTGTTTAACTCTAAATGTGTAATACAACTGAGAGTTGAAGTCATTGTCTGTAATAATCTAAAGCAAGCCGTACATGCTATTCATCAACGTGAAGTTGAAAATAACCTGGAATATTCCTGTAAACACCATCAGATTGATATCCTGACGTAAGAGACAGCTGCATAACATCATATATGTGCGCTGGCAGTTAGGTTGTGGCACATTTTTTTTTTTTCAAGTGTTTACACACAAGTCAGTTGCAGAACAAATCTCCTGTGGTGAGACATTCATATGAAAATATTGTCTGAGAATGTCATATTCCATTCACATTCTCCAGCCTGTATGCAAAACAAGACCATGCAGAGGAAACCATGATTACACACACACACACACCAGTGCCACTGACAACAATCTCTTAACAAACATCTGTAACGAAGCATGCGGAGCGATAGTGAACACACACGCGCACAGACATTACCAAGCAGGTGTCCAGTGTGAGCTGTGATAAAGACAGCACTGAGTCTGTTGGGGAGAAAAAGTCGTTATGGGTGCGTTTGTAGCTTTGGGTTGTGAGTGTCAGACAGATGGGACCCTATAAACCAGGGCCGGAGTGGGACTCATTTTCAGCCCTGGAGTTTCATGCCTTAGACCGGCCCACTTTAGTTTACGACTGAGCTATTAAAATAATTAAAACCTCAGTATATAAGTCTGCAATAGTGCACTGTTCTCCTTGTAATTCATTGTATTTATCTAGAGCTTTTGTATATATATATATATATATATATATATATATATA